CCCTGGCCTAGGCGTATGGGCTGCCCCTGTGAGAAAACACACCTGACCCCACTCTCTGCAGCTTACAGGACAGCCCTGATCGCCTGGACCAGACTCTGATTCCCTTCCTTACAAGCGATTTGGTGTGAGTGGGGATACCTAACCTCATTCAGCCTGGATGCTCAAGTATAAAATAGGACTGATACTCCAGCTATCTGTTCTATGATAATCATTCATTAGAGCATTGAGTGCTGTGGTGGTTCCCCCAGAGACGCTCTCATACTTTTCCTTCCCAGGAACCAGGTAAACATGAAGCAATGGTCAGCTGGAGAAGCTGTTTATTGGATGTAGGTTTCTTGTTGGATTTGCTGTGTCGATTTATTTCATTGTTTGATGGAAATCCAAGACATCATTGTGTTGATACATAACTCATTATTACAAAGACCCCTGGGTGGGTAGACATTAAGAAGCAGCAGGAGTTTGGAGCTGTAATGTTTAAATCCTGTGTTTTTAAACAATATGGAATCTTTATATGAATTTATTCGTGGATTTTAAATAAAAAACAAGCAAATAAATGAATCGCTTTTTGTTTACCAAAATAAATAAATAAAATGAGTGTAACTGCAGTTTTCTCTTTGTTTTCTGGATAAAATCACTTAAGCTTCTACACAGCGGGACTCTGCAACCTACTGCTGAAATCATGGAAAGACGGCTTTCCACTGCTGATCATTTACACACATACACTCTGGTTCATACGCATGGTAGCATCAACATTACTAGTTGGGACAACTGCATTTTCTGTGTGGGGAGATCGCTGCTGCTGTGGATTCATGGAGTACAGACCCAGGTCCTAAGCTCTCTGGGAAGCAGACGATATGATCCACGGTGTGCATGGAACATGGATGTTACCATAGCCCGCTAGCAATCTTGATTTTCTTTCTTTCTTACAACTGTACTAAGATATAGTTCACATGCCATACAATTCACCCATTTAAAATGATTCTATGCAAATGTGTATACCCTATACCACATTCAATATTAGAGCATTTGCATCACCTCAAAAAGGAGCCCCATGTTCTTTAGCTTTCACCTCTCTTTCTTATCCCCACCTCCCTAAGCAGCCACTGTACTCCTTTCTGTTGCTGTGGATTATCCTAATCTGGACTTTCATGTGAATGGAATCATGTCAAATGTGGTTTTTTTGTGACTGGCTTTTCTCATTTAGCGTACAGTTTTCAAGGCTTATTCATGTCATAGCATGTACTCACATTTTCCTTTTTATTACATTGTGTGCATATGCCACATTTTGCTTATCTATGCATCTGTTGATGGATGTTTGCATTGGTTTACCTTCTGTCTGTTGTGAATAATGCTGCAGTGAACACTGGTGTACAGGTGTCAGTGTGAGCCGTTGTTTTTCAAGTTTTTACTGGAATTGCTGGTTCATGTGGCAGTTTGAAAAAATCTTTCTATGGATATGTACATTGTTTGCAGTACAATTCAGTGATTTAAATATATTTTAAAAGAGTTGTGCAGTCATCACCACAATCAATTTTAGATAATTTTATTTGTGTATCCATTGCTATTAACTCCACATTTCCCCAACCTCCCCTGTCATAACCTAGAGAGATAGTAATCTAGTTACTGTCTCTATATATCCACATATCTTGGGTTTTATAAAAAAAAAAAATATAGAAGAACTCTTATCTGAAACAACAAAACACAGATAAACTTTGATCTAAAAGCAGAAAATAATAAAAACTAGATCAACTTAAAAATGGACCAAAAGGTAAACTGGCATTCCATGATGCTCACCTTCCCAACACAATTGCTGAAGACAAATGAGTGCATAAGCAAATGTAAAGAAAACTGATGGTGCCTGGTTATCAAAAGATAGAGTCTTAAAGGCTTGAAGGTAAACAAGTGGCCATCTAGCTTAGAAGCAACAAAGCCCACATGGAAGAAGCACACCAGCTTGTGTGATCATGAGGTATCGAAGGGATCAGGTATCAGGCATTAAAGAACAAAAGATCATATCATTGTGAATGAGGGGGAATGTGGAGTGGGGACCCAAAGCCCATCTGTAGGCAACTGGACATTCCCTTATGGAAGGGTCGTGGGGAGGAGACGAGCCAGTCTGGGTGCAGTGTAGCCACAATGAAACATACAACTTTCCTCTAGTTCTTAAATGCTTCCTCTTCCCCCCACCCCCACCCCCACTATTATGATCGCAATTCTACCTTACAAATATGGCTAGACCAGAGGATATACACTGGTACAGATAGGAATGGGAAACATAGGGAATCCAGGACAGATGATCCCTTCGGGACCAGTGGTGAAGAGTGGCGATGCCGGGAGGGTTGAGGGAGGGTGGGGTAAAAAGGGGAACCGATTATAGGGATCTACATCTACATCTACAGGGATCCGCCTCCTTGAGGGACGGACAACAGAAAAGTGGGTGAAGGGAGACAGGCAGTGTAAGATATAACAAAAATAATAATTTATAAATTATCAAGGGTTCATGAGGGAGGGGACAGTGGGGAGGGAGGGGGAAAATGAGGAGCTGATGCCAGGGGCTTAAGTGGAGAGCAAATGTTTTGAGAATGACGAGGGTAACGAACATACAAATGTGCTTTACACAATTGATGTATGTATGTATGTATTGTGATAAGAGTTGTATGACCCCCCAATAAAATGATTAATATTTATATATATAAATGCACTAACAAAAAAAATGGGTCAAAAGGGAAAACAAATGGTAAGATGTTAAATTTTAAGCTAATTGCCTGTAGCAATCCATTCCAATGTACTGTGAAGACAAAAATGGTTCACATCCCTCATCAGTGGTCTGAGAGAGTTCAATGGAAACTTAATCCACGTGGGGCTTCTGCAAATGGGTTTTGGGGTTGTCATGTGGCAGTTTTATGTGTTATATTTTGAAGATCTGCCCAACTGTCTTCTACCATGTCTCCACCATTTCACATACCACCAGCAATGGACAAAACTTCCAATTTTTCCACATCCTCACCAGTACTTGTTATTTTCTGTTTACATATTCTTATTTTGTTTTTCATAGTAAGCATCCTAGTGGGCATTGCACACACTGCTATCTAGTAGATTCTAACTCATAGTGAACCTACATACAGTTTCTAAGACTGGGGAAGTCTTTATAGGAGCAGACTACCTCACCTTTCTCCTGCGGAGCAGCTGGTAGGTTTGAACCGCCGGCTGTGTAGTTAGTAGTCCAGTACTGACCCTGTAGTGCCAATGCAAATACAAGCCACAATGAGATGCCACTTCATGCCCACTCACTCAAAAAACTCCCTGCCATCCAGTTGATTCTAACTCACCGTGACCTGAGAAGATGGAGTAGAACTGCCTCTCTGGGTTTGTGAGACTTTTAAATCTCTTAAATCTTTTACAGGAGCAGATACCCGCATTCCCTGCCGCCACCACCCCCTTGGAGCAACTGGCCACTTTAAACTGCTGACCTGGTGGCTGGCAGCTCAGTGTGTAGCCCACTATGCTATGCTACTAGGGCTCCTCTTCATACTTTATCGGATGCTCCATTTAGAGTTAATTTTCATATATGGTATGAGCTACAGACCCTACTTTATTCTTCTACATATGGAAATGTAGTTGTTCCAACTTGTATTTTTATTATTAGTGTAAGAGTTCTTTATCTATTCTAGGTAAGTCTTTTCCCCCAGACACTTTGACATATAAATCCTGGTTTCTGGCTCATTACTTTAGTCCTTAATTTTTAACTTACCAGAAAATGAATCCATTTTGTTTTTCTGCAGCACTTCAAGAAGTGATTATTTTGAAACAATACCTCCATCTCCAGTTGAGACAGTAGGCATAAACTATTCTCATAAGGGAGTAAGCTAATGAGAAACATGCAGTAAGGTAGTCTTGTGGTGATTGGTCATAATGTGTAGGTTATTTTCTGTAATTTTTTTAAAAAGCAAATTCCTGAAACTATGGTCACACAGAGCCTCAAAATTCCTTCTTTTCCAAAAAGTTTTATACCATCAAGATGTCTGCATTTTTGTGGGTTTTTTAACTTTAGTATTTGGTAAAGTTGAGATTATATTTTCTTATTTATCAATAAACTTAAACAGAGTTAGGTGAACTAATGAATCCTGTTGTCTCGTGGAGAAAGTATTGGATTGCTAACTGAAAGATGGGTTAATCTTCTTCCATGAAAGATTTACAGCATCCCATCAGAAGATCCAAAACAATCATATTGATGCAAATGAGGAGGGTTGGAGTGGAGATCCAAAGACCATCTGTAGACAATTGGACATCCCCTCAAAGAATAGTCACAAGGAAGGAATAAGTCAGCCAGGGTGCAGTGTAGCACCGATGAAACACACAATCCTCTAGTTCTTTAACTAGAGGATTCCTTCTCCCCACTATCATGACCCAGTTCTGCCTTACAAATTCGGTTATCCCGGAGCATATACACTGGTACAGATAAGAGCTCTAAACACATGAAATCCAGGACAGATAAACCCCTCAGGAATATTAATGGGAGTAGCAATACCATGAGAGTAGGGGGAGGGTGTGGGAAGGGGGAGAGAGGGGGAACTGATCACACTGATCAACAGGGGGACAAACAACAGAAATGTGGGTGAAGGGAAAACGCATATGGTGTAAGATATGAAATAACAATTATTTATAATTTATCAAGGGTTTACAAGGGTGGGAGGGAGGGAAAAAGAGGAGTTGATACCAAGAGCTCAACTAGAAAGAAAATGCTTTGAAAATGATGATGGCAACATACGCACAAATGTGCTTGATACAGTCGATATATGCATTGTTAAAAGACCTGTAAGAGCCCTCAATAAAATAATTATTTTAAAAAATCCACAGCTTCAGAAACCCTATGGAACAATTCTACTGTGTCCTATAAGGTCACTCTGAGTCAGAATGGTCTCGGCAGCAGTGGGTTATTAAGTGAGCTATTGGTATTTACAATTTCAGTCAGAGTGCATGTTCATTTTGTTTTAAGGATTCTGACGACTATCCCGGCGCTTTGGAATACCATATGACACTACATCATGAGTGACAGTAAATGTGATAGTCAGTTTTACAGCGTGCAAGTGGCAGACTCAACGTTCACAGTCTTAAAACGCTACCAGCAGTTGAAACCAATTGGCTCTGGAGCGCAAGGGATTGTTTGGTAAGTATCATCTGTTTAATGGTGTGGACGGAATTTTTGCTATAATGAAAAGTAAAACCAAACCATCAGAATTTTAAAATGCTGATGATAAAAGTACTCTTTTCTTTGCTATGGGCTTATGAGCTAAATTGGATCAACCTTGTTCTCTAGTTATATGTAGTCAGAGTAAAGGCTACAAACCCAAATTCTTAGAATGCTGCAAAAATGTGAATAGGTAGCAATTTTTCTTTCTTTGTTTCTATTTTTGTTTGTTCTTTTTGTTTCTTTCCCTTTTTTTTTCATTCCCCTTATTATAATATCAGAATATTAGGTATGACAGTGAGTTGTAACAGAAGTTTGGAGTTTTATTCATTTCTTCATCATGGCCACCTTTTCCCCCTCCCCCTTTTATTCCCAATCACTCCTATTCATTTCCAGGCGCCATCCTTGCTGTGCCTTGCCATTCATTGGCAGGATGAGGCCAGTCAGTCTCATCCCCACCCCATGGATTACCCAGGAAGGGATGCTGTGTGAGGGGTTGGGCTGGCCGTCTCTTCCTTGGTGTCTCACTTCAACTATGTGTCCAGCCCAGGACGTCAGAATCGTTAGTCTGACCCTGAACTTAGTCTCTTGCATGGTAAGACAGTCAGCTGCTGCAGCATCACTGGCCAGCTAAAGGTAAAGTTTTTCACATGTTTTTTAGACTACAGTTGTCAGCACTTCCCAGCACTTTTTATCCCTTATTTTTCTGAATGAAACTTTTTTGGGGGGAGGAATGGGAGGTCAATAAAAACAAGATTCTCTTCACATGTGAAAGGGACAGTGATGAAGTTCTTGCTCCATCTAAGTTTACAGGTAGCTGACAGAGGGGATTCAGGAAAAATGGGAATTCTTTTGGATATTTTGCTGGTGGACTTTATGCTTTCCTCCAGAGAGGCTGAACTTTGAGAATCGACTGTAGTTTATAATTGACTCTCTATTGCAGATAAATCAGATCCCGGAACTCAGTTGTTTTCTTTTGTCCTCAGTGGTTGGCAGCCCCGTAGGTAAACAAAGATGGTAGTCACAGTGGCCCAGAATAAGTTTTGAGAGCGAAGCGGCTGTTTGGAAGAACCAGCCTTCCAGCGTGTCTGAAATAGTGCTGATCTTCACTGCTGTTACACTGTACTGGCTACAGTGAATCCCATGTGCCTTGAGATGTTTTTGAAGTCAGTAAATGATTCCAAATTTAATTTCTTTTTTAATATTCATAAAAGACTCCAGAAAATAGAACATTCTGTTAATTTATCACCAAACCAAACTCACTGCCCTCAAGCCTATCCCCACTCATACTTACAGGGTAGAACCGCCCCTGTGGGTTTCCAAGGCTGTAAATCTTTACGGAAGCAGAAAGCCTCATACTTTTCCCATCTTTTGATTTATAGTCCATCTTTTATTTGAAACTGGATGGTAATTAGGCACAGGCAATTTGGCAAAACTGTTCTCAAGGGCATTTAATGTAATAACCACATTAAGAGACTGAGTAAAAACTAGTATTTACTTATAAAATGCAAAGCTTTACAAAGGGTGGGCATTTGAAATGAATGACTTCCTTATAGCATAGTAAATAACAATGAAATTTGCATGTTACTTTATTTGCTATCTAGTTTGCATGTTATTAGCTTTATTTTTTAAAGAGGAATAGTTTAATAATGAAACAACTCATATGGTTGTGCATTTTTTATTTGAAAATTTTAGTTTTGAATTTAAAAAAATTAATTTGGCATCACAAGGATTCCTGGTGGCACAGTGGTTAAAGAACTCAGCTGGTAACTAAAAGGTTGGCAGTTTGAGGCACCAACTGCTCTTCATAAGAAAGATGTGGCAGGCTGTTTCCATAAAGATTTTCAGCTTAGGAACCCTATGGAGCAGTTCTACTCTGTCCTATAGGATCACTTTGAGTTAGAATCAACTCCACAGCAGTGGGTAAATTCCAGACTTCCTCAGCTAATAGTAATAATAGTAATAGTAGTAAAAATTATAGAATAGAAAGTTCTGAATTTTAAAAAATTTAGACTTTAATGATAGCTTTGAAAAAACTAGAATAACACTTGTTATTGTTTATGGATATGTCACTCTTGCTACTAAAGTTTTGTATTTAATACTTTCATATAATAATAAATGTGAAATAAATTGTGATTTTTAAAATAGTAGCTTAAGTTATGCTTGATAGAGTCTTAACAGTAACTTTACCTAACTCTTAGTGTTTTCATCATTAAATGAACTTATGACAATTTTTAGTGATGTTTATAGGAGCAGCTTTCACTTCACATACGCCAAGGCATTAATATGTTGAGATTAAATTTTTAACAATAGCTTATAGTTTTCTCTTTTTTTAAGGTTCCTTTTTGTATTTTTCTTTGGCAAAGCCCCATTTTCATAGCTTGAAATTAATCCTAAGGAAAGATAAAAAGTGGATTGCCTTTTAGCTCAATAAGGAAGTTGTTTACTTTAAACAAGTAGAGGAGTATTTATTGGAGAGGAAGATCTCCTAACGAGCTTATTCGCAGCTAACAGTTATTTTTGATCTTTGAAGTGATTAATTCATCCACCTTTGTAACCCACGCAAATAAAAACTGTTAGGTTAACTTTACTGGGTGGATAAAAGGGATTAATTAACTTCATTAGCTCATTGGTATTTTCTTTGTAAAAATATTTGTACAATTATGAAAATTAGACTTATAGGTGCTTCATCTGTAGGCCTCAGGCAGCCTGCTAGTCTGTAGCAGCTGGGTCTTGGTGGTTGGAAAGCTTGGGTTCTCAGTGTTACCTTATTGCTTTTTTTCATGGAGTGCTATAGTGGTTTCCTTTCAGCCAATGAGATGGAGATGGCTGCTGCGTATAGTCCACATGAATTCTCTGGACTGCTACAGCAAGTTGCCACAGACTTGGTGTTTTAAAGGACAGAAATGTATTCTCCGAGCTGAAAGTCCTGTGTTAGGTGTGAACTGCATCATACTCTCCGCAGGCTCTAGAAGAGGGAAGAATCTGCTCCATGCCGCTCTTGGCTTTGGGTGGTTGCCAGTGTTCTTTGACTTGTAAAACCGCATCACTTCAGTCCCTGAATCCATTGTCACATGGCCTTCTGTCCTGTGTGTGTTCTATCTCTGAGTCCCCTCCCCTTTTCTTAAAAGATCATATCGGAGTTAGAACTCACCCAAGTATGACCTCCTCTTAACTATTTGCAACACTAGTCAGCACAGTACACCTTCCCTCTGTGCTCAAGGCTCCATAGGCCTGATGAGCTGTAGTAGTGGTGAACTGGGAGCAGCCGTCTAAAAGACAGGAAGGAGGTTTTCCCCATGACATTTGCCATGTCTTTTGGGGATTTTTCCTGCCTGTGTTTTGAATAGCACCTTCAATATTGGCATTATGCTTGTATTAGTCTAGGTACTTTGGAGAAACAAATCCAGAGCAACTCATGTATAAGAGAGAGTTTTATGCAAAGAAAATGTGCATCACAAAAACATCCCAACCCAATGCTGCCCAAGCCCACAAGTCCAACATTAACCCATACCCAACACCAGTCCACAAAGTCCTCCACCTCACAAAACAGAGGCAATAATGCCGACTGTAGGAGGAAAGCTGAGTCAGTGAACGTGTAAGCATCTCAGCACTGGCAGGGGTCTCCACACGGCTGCTCCGGCCCCCAGGGCTGCATCGGGATAGATCCATGCGGCTTCTCCTTGGGGATGTCTTGTAGGAAATCCATCTTGCAAGCTGAAGCAGGGAACTGCTAAGGCAGCTGCACCCGATGCAACCATCACAAAACAAGAGACCCGAGAACTAGAAAGGCTGAGGCTCACCACCCATTTATCCCTCCGCCTTTCAACCAGCACCACATGTGATTATTGGCCAGGCTGGCACAATTAACTAACTCAGCTATTAATCATGCAAATTAGATTTTTCCTCTCCATCAGTGGTAGAAGGGCCTGAGGGTCCCCAACATGGAGCCCTGGTTTCCAGATAACACATTCTCCCCATTGGTTTCTTCCCTACAAATGTGACAAGTTCATTCCCATTGCCATGGCTTTTGAACTCTCGCATCTCCCGGTTGTGTTCTCCTGTGTACCTCATTAAACTCCTGAGATGTCCACACACTTCCCCTTCTCTCATCTATGAAGCATCACCAAATAATCTTGCTTTGAGTGGCTTGAGCCAAATGCTTGACTGGTGCACACACATAAGAGAGAGAGAGACCAAAAGTCTTGGGGAAGTTGCTCTAACCTAACCTGTGTTTGAAATATTAGTAATAATGAATAGTTATTTATAAGTAATTTTAACGTCCTTTCTTCCCCTTTGCCTTTTGTGTTCATACTCTGTCAGGCTACAAGGATACTAAGTAGGATGGGAAAATAATTGGGCAATTTCACATTCCTGTTTATTAAAAAAAGAAAAAAAACCTACGAAAATGTGGTATTTTCTAAAATAACCTCAGCAAGTAAGCTACTACTTTGACACCAAAAAATTGGATTTTATTTATTATATTCCTTATTAAAAATATTGCCATTATAGAAGTAATTGATTTGATCATCTGAAAACTTTATTTCATAGGTATTATACTTTAAAATTATTCATCAGTGATCGTTTGGAGGTATGAGTGGCTAAATGCCACCTCCTACCCAAATGTCCATGCCCTCATCCCTGGGACATGCAAATGTTACCATACATTAAAAGAAGGGAATGTGTAGATTTTATTAAAATTAAAAACCTTGGAATGGGGAGGTTATCCTAGATTATCCAGGTGGACCCAGTATAACCATGAGGGTCCTTCAGAAGGAAAGGCAAGAGGGTCAGAATCAGAAAAAGACATGTGATGACAGAAGTAGAGATTCAAATGATACAGGGTCAGTGGGCAAGGAATATAGGCAGTTTCTTGGAGCCAGAAAAGGAAAGGAAAATAGATTCTTCCCAAGAGCTTTCAGAAGGAACACATCCAGGCTGACACATTGATTTTAGTCTTATATGACCCAAGATGGATA